ACTCGTGGACTCCAACGGACTCCAACTAACTCAACCCTTTATCCTAAATCTAAAAGATCGTGAATAGCAAACCAGAGCCGTAAACATCGGCACAACACCGGTCTATAACTAAACCTTAACCCCTGCAACATGAAACTCCTGAAGCCATTCCAAGCTACCGCCCTAAGCCTACATAAGAGTCAAACTTCTCTAAACCATGTCGTAGCTAATCCAGAAACCCTATGCCAGAAACCCTTCGAATGCAACATCCTGAGATCCTTGCTACAAGCCAAACCTAAACCATCCCGGACCATCCCACAGCACCTTGTAACCCAAGCTTGCGAACGACAAAACCTGAACGGGGGGACCGAGGTGCCGTTGAGCCGTTCCATGGCTTCATCTGCGGTCTCCTGTGAGTCGAAATCGAGGATAGCGTAGCCATCTGAGTTGGGAGCAGAATTCAGTCTGTTTTTCAAGCTTTAGTGGTTGGGTTTAGAGGTTTTATATACATATATACATATACATATATATATATATATAAGGTTTAGGGTTTAGAGCTTCGAGTTTGGCGTTTAGGGCCGTGGGGGGCTTTCCTGCTGAGGGTGCAAGATTCGTTTCATGCATCAAACTCGTGGTGAACCCCAAGAGCACAAGCTCCCAGGCTTCGAGAGTGGGAGCTTTGAAACCCAACGACTGCCCCACACAAAACCCCTGAAAGCCCTAAGAGACCCCAAGGAAGCCTGCCCCTAAACCCCGAAACCCCAAACCGTACACCCCGAAACTCCAAACCTTGAACCCTAACCCCCACACCCCGCAGCTCAAATCCTCACACCCTTCGGTCGGCGGGGACCCACTCTTTAAAAAGCACCGGAAAGCCTGAAGAACCTCGCGCCTGACCCCCGAAAACGGCGAGCCTTAGGAGTTCCTATCCTCAAGCCCAAACCTGGACCCCAAAGCCTTCACAGAACGCAACCCTCGAGGCCCTCAGAAGCCCGAAGGAGCCCCAAACTCTAAACCCTATAAGCCCCAACCAAATCCTGAAGCCATGAATCCCTAAACCCTAAACCCTAAACCCTAATCCCTAAACCCTAAACCCTAAACCCTAAACCCTAATCCCTAAACCCTAAACCCTAAACCCTAATCCCTAAACCCTAAACCCTAAACCCTGAAATCTCAAGAAATCCTCAGATCTAGAAGCCCTCGACCCTGAAGCCGAAGAACGCCAAAAAGCCTCAACCCTAGACTGGAGCCCCAAAGCCCTGAAGCCCTAAACCCGAGCCTATACCTGGACCCCAAAAGTATGTAGAGTAATAATAGCCTTTTGTAGGTTTGGGGCCATTATTTTACCTACTTTGGGGGGGGGGGGGGGGTCTAGGTAAACACTAGACCTTATAGGAAACTCCAGAAAGTTGGAATATGGTTTCAGGGTAGGATACCTTATAGTTTACCATAAAGGGGTTGAGGATAATCATATTCCAACTTTCTGGCTTTTACTTTAGAGGTCTGGAGCCCTAAACCCTAAACCCTAAATCCTAAACCCTAAACCCTAAACCTTAAACCCTAAACCCTAAACCCTAAACCCCAAAACCCTAAACCCTAAACCCAAAACCCTAAACCCTAAACCGTGGAGCCCTAAACCCTAAACCCTAAACCCTGGAGCCCTAACGATTTTCAAAGGAGTCCGAGGATCGATTCTCGCCCCCGCCCTTCCGGGGCATTTGAATCGAGCGGAGCTCGAGGCCAAAGAGGGAGCGAAGCTCCGCCTTTCAGGAGTAAAACTACCTTAACCTACCAAACCCTACTTTTTTGTAGGTTCTTATTATAAACCCTAATGTGGAATTTATAGGTTTTGGTAGGTTAAGGTATATGTTTACTATGACCGTATGACTATGTGACTATGTTAAGGAACCTGTGCTATATTTACGATGGTGACACCGGCGATATTATGTGCAGCCGCAGTGGTCATCGCAAGAAGAGTGGGAACACCAACTGCCGTAAACCCTGAGCCCTAAGCCAAGGAGTTGTCTCTGAGAGCGTCTTCTCTAAAGTGCATCCAACAAGTCGGAGTGATCATCCGGAGCCCCAACCCTCAACCTGACAACTTGTAACATCAACCCTAAACCGCGCCCGAATCCCACAACTCTCAAGCTTAAATGCCAGGCCTAGGCCACAGCTCAGACTCCACACTTTTGATTGCCCATGCCGAATTCCCGACCAACAAAGAACCCTACCGCCAGCAGAAGCAAAGAAACAGCAAGTCTGAATATAAACCAACCCACGGAAGCCTTCACATGGGTGGCTGTCAAAATTAGGGTCCCTATTCGTGTACCCTAAATAATAGATGCCGTATTATAATAAAGACTCAAAAAGGGACCATCGTTTTGACAACCATCCACATGATACAGACCCCCTGCCATACCTTTCGAAAACCGCTTCAAATGACGCAGAGCTCAGGATGAAGAAAAGAAGCCCTAAACCCAAACTCCCCGCTACAACCGAAAATTTGTCAGCGTGATAGTAATCAAGCAATAAAATCCAAAACCAACAAAAAAACATAATCTTCTTCTTTATAGAGGATACCAATCGGCTTGTGATCGAGTTTGTAAAGCGCGAACAACGGATCGGGGCACCTAGCAAGCAAGCTACAAAGCACCCTCGCGCACAAGTTACACGATACTGGCTCGGCTTGCTCAACTACTTAGCATTTAAGATAGGGGCCTTCATGACAAGAATAGGGTTTGGCGGTATGTTGTGCCATAGTATTACCAAGAATCCAAACCCCTCTTGGCTTAAGCTAAAGCTTTCGCGGGCTTCCGTGCCTCATCGACGTTTCCGGGCAGATCTGATGCCTTCAAGGATGCCATGCTTTTCCTGACGGTAGCGGATGTCGTCATCTCTCGGGTTTAGGCTCAGTGGCTCCATAGTCATTCCTGTTTGGGGTTCATAATTTATCCTTAGGCTCCAAGGACTCATAGTTTAAGGCTTTTGGGCCCAAAGACCATGCTATATAAGGCTTTTGGGCTATTTTGAGCCTTAGGGTTAGAAAGGGGATACTATGGAGCCTATAGGTATAGGCTTTCTGTACAGGGGCGTGAACGCTTTGAGTTGTGTTCAAGTGTGATCCTAAAGGGCGCAAAATATGGTTACTACCGGGTCTATTGTAAGGTTTACCTGGGGTTTCGGGTTTAAGGTTTACTGTTCAAGGGCTTTCAGCTTAGGCTCACAGATTCGCACAACCAAAGTCAAGTAGCCATACTTTAAACCGCGAGCTCGACCCCCCCAAACCCCTGAAACCCCTGAATCTTAATCCCACGGCCCCATAACCCTCTAAAACCCGTAATTCAAGATGCAAAGCCTTTCCACAAGCTGTTGGACCATCAGAAAACATCAAGACTGAAGAAGCCCTAAATCCTGAAGCCCTTGTAGCTTACGGCCACGCTATTTTCTTGGAGGTCCTTGAGACCTGTCTTTTAAAAGCTCTACATAAAGATCCTTTACAACAAAACCAAATTCAGAAAGCTGCCAAGTACATGGCCCTGATTCGATAAAGACCCCATAACCCTGAAACCCCTGATGTAGGGCCTGAAGAATAACAAGGTTCTGCGACATTCTATGCAATGGAAAACCACAACTCTAGGGCCCTTGGGAATAGTGACAACACTCACCGTCCAAGCTTATGTATTCAGTTTTGCGGCTTCCAGGCGCCGGTGTGAACTTGCGAGTTGGACACTCTGTGCCTTCTAATATATATGGGAGCTCAATAATCAGAATATGTCTTGAGGAATGCTTAGTAAAGTTATAAGGAGACTATAAGGGGGCAGTATGGCCCGAAGCCATGACCCCGTGATTCTTCGGAAACAGTCAGTCAGATTGTAGCTGGACTCGAAAATGTCAAAGATTTACCAACAAGCGATATCATGGGCACTACATGTAGGACAATTCCCGCAGGTCCTGAGCCCAACAAAATGTTGGACCATGCCCCGACGCCACACAAGATGGTAGGTCATGGCCCCACAATATCGGGGTGTGGCCCCGAAGACAGTGGGCGGCCCTAAACCCTACACAGTGTCCCGGGTGCAGAGACTCGGGTCTTGATGCCAGGGTCCCAATTTCAACCCTCTTTAAGGACCGGCGCACAAGCGGATCCAACGTCTAGGAACTCTAGGATTTCATGTGCCGCACGCTGGTAGACCCCCACCTTAGCATACTTGAACCCTCACCGCAGTCAAAGGCACCACGATCTTACGGTTAGCAGGTTGTAGACGCACCCTTTATCCGCAGCTTGCACCCAGGCCTCTGAGTCTCGGCCACGGTTGGCGCCAAATAGCTGAAGTCTACTCTCTAGCTGAAGGAAGCTTGTATGTTCAAGGCTCAAGGTGTGCATTTCTGAGAATTATAGAGATGCTTGCCTAAGATCCCGTGTATCGTAACCCGCATCTGATGCTGCGATCATGTGTGCACCTTCCGATAGCCTCAGCCGAAAAGTTGCAGTGAGCCATCCGACTGCCAAGCATCGCTGCATGAGTTCCTGAAACATTTAGTTTCTAGACGTAAACCAAGTGTTTGAGATTAAGGCCCTGCCCTAAGGCTTTGCCCAAGGTGCAAAACCCAGTCAAAACACCTTCAACCCTCGACTCATGTTAAACCCGACAACCTAAACCCGATGTATCATACCTAAGCCTATCTGTAAACCCCAAACCCTAATCATAGGCCCTAAACCCCACTTCTAAACCATAAACCCTGTTCATAACTCCTAAACCCTGATCATAAACTCAAACCCTATTTGCAACACGCTGAACCCTATCAGTTTACGAACTCTAAACCCTCTTTATATACCCCAAACATCTCTACACCCCGTTAACCCTGCTTTGTCAAGCGTCCAAGCTTACTAGTTCATGGCTGGGGTAGGAGTCAAAAATTTAAAAATGTGCTTTATTCTCCCTTATCGGGTTTAAGTATCCATAAAATGTAAGATGTTCCCCAACTATGACACAGAAAACCCGACACCCTTCGGCTCGGACCTCCTTGGCTTCCGTCGTCGACCGCTGGGCGGCTCCATGGCAGCCCCAGCGGTCTTCAGAGCCTCGAGAATAAGATGATTGCGGGTCTGGGCCAATCGAGGGCCTCAGGGTCTTCGCGTCTTAGGGTCTTAAGGTTTAGGGTCTAGGGCCTTAGTGTCTTAGGGTGTTGGGGGTTTTAAGCTTTTCCCGTTAATGGTGTCCGGGTTGTGTTTTCTGGGCTGAGAGGCTGAGAGACTTTGGGTTTTGGGGTTTCACAAAGCGTGAAAGTCCGCGCATGACAAGATAAGAACATCCACCACATACAGAACACCTTCCAAAGCTGTAAAGACCAAATGCTACATGCCAGGCCAGGTTACCACCCAGACCTTCCAAAATCCCTTAATTAAGCAATATACCTTAATGCATATTAGGGATCCTATTATAATTTAAGGTATATTCCTTCATTAAGGGATTTTGGAAGGTCTGGGCACTGCGAGGCTCCCAGTCTAGTGCACATAAGCCTTGGTACGGTAACACTGCAGCCGTCGTTCATCCTGAGCCCTCAGACCTTGATGCCAAACCGCGGGCCCCGCGGCCTCCTCGCCTGAAATGATAACCCTCAACCCGCAAGTCCCAAACCCTGAACCCCTGAACCCTGTATGGGAGTTTCCGAAAGTTAGGGGGACCTTATTTTGGGGTCCTTCTATAAGGATCCTACTATTTAGGGTACTATCTTGGGTCCCCTTTTCGGAAACTCCCATTATAAACACCCCAAACCCTCAAACCCAAAGCGATTGAAACCCAAACCCAAACCTCTGAATCCGGCAAACCGTCATGAGACCCCATGCCTTCCGCAACCCTGCACCTGACGAAACCTAACACCTTATGCAATCCCTGTTTTCCCTCAACTCCACGCTGTCAGAGCTCCAATTTCGGGGCCCGAACACTCAAAGGGTTTCCGGGGTTGTCCTTACCTGGACCCCAAAAGTATGTAGAATAATAGCCCTTATAGGGTTTTGGGCCATTATTTAACCTACTTTTGGGGTTTAGGTACAGTTATGACCATGATTAAGCAACCCCACGGGGTAGCATCAGAATTGACTGGCCCAAATCCTAAATGCAGGCATCGACATTGAAAACTTAAGCTCTGAACCCCAAAACCTCAACCCCAAACCCCAAACCCCTAAATCCTGAAACCTCTTTGAGCGGCACCTCCGCCACTTGGTTAGCAGCCTGCAGCTCGGTACAGGCGTAGTCCTTCTGGGCCTGGTTTTGGGCTTTAGGGCTTAGGGTTTAGGGCTTAGGGTTTATGGTTTAAGGGGTTTAGGGCTTTAGGGTTTTATAGGGTTTAGGGCTTAGGGCGTAGGGGGGCACAGGGCTTGGGGCTGTAGGGTTTTAAGGCTTAGGGCTTTTAAGGTTTTAGGGTTTAGGGATTCAGGGCGTTAGGGCTTTACGGCTTTAGGGTTTCAGGGCTTTAGGTTTTTAGGGTTTTAGGGTTTAGGGCTTTTAAGGTTTTAGGGTTTAAGGCTTTAGGGTTTAGGGCTTTAGGGTTAGGGCTTTAGGGTTCTGGGCTTAGGGCTTGAGGGTTCCGGGCTTTAGGGTTTAGGGTGTATAGGTTTTAGGGTTTAGGGTTTAGGGTTTAGGATTTAGGGTTTAGGGTTGAGGGCTTTAGGGTTTTAGGGTTTAGGGCTTCGGGTTGTAGATCATTTTGAGGATTGCATTTTGGCATCTTTAAGGTGCTCAAGTGCCTTCTGTAGAGGTATTATTATTATTATTATTATTATTATTATTATTATTATTATTATTTTGATGATCATGATTATTATTATTCGTATTATTATTACAAGTATTATTGTATTATCATCACTACTATCCTTAATATGTAAGGTCTAGAGTTATGTAATATTATTACGTAGTATGAATATTTGCTGTTTTGTATGCAAGGTCTAGGGTGTTTGGATTTTGGGCTTCTCAGGGTTTGGAGCGTGGGGCCGCACTGGGCGGGTACTCTTTGGACTTGGGATCGAGTGTAGGAATTTTTGGGGAAGCAATGTAGGGGCCTTAATCGGGTTCCTTGAGCAACCCTTACTATGATGAATAAGGGATACTGTAAGGGTAATTACCATTATAGGGGCCTTAATAGTTACAAAAGGGTTTGGGGGCCCATTATACTATAGTGATAGCACGGAACCTAGGAGATGATATTGGTCATTATCTAAGCTTCTATAGCATCTTGCCTCGGGATTTACCCTTTACGGATATTTAACATCTCGGGAACCAGGGTTGAGGGATGGGAGGAGTTGGTTGTCTGATCTCGCGATTTGGGAGGTTTGGATTCAAGGTTCAGAAGGCTGCGGGATTTAGGATTTAATGTGGGATGGTTTTAACAACACCTAGACTCTGCACCTAGACATATAAGCAAAACTCGTGCCAGAACATATCATGACAGTACACCATGTAACATAAAACGTAACATGGCCAACGATTAGCCAGCAACACTACTTCAAACATTTAGTAGGTGAGCTGGGGTATGTCTTACTGCAACTGTATACGTGGACTATAAAGGGTTAGCTTATTTTCAGAAAAGTGCTAGCGCCGAAACTCTTAACCCAAAAGCCTCATGAATAAACCCAAAATGCCACGGCTCGCCTGCAAATCTGCGCGCTCCTCCGCGCCCTCGCGGACCTGCTGGTGTAGCCTCCGGGCTTCATAGGGCTGTACTTGCATAAACTGGTCTATCAAGGGGTTGAGGGAATTCTACACAAGGGCAAGTTTAGGGTCATTTAGAGAATTTCTTGCACCGCAGATATACGACATGCTAGTACGATAACGCGGAGGAGGCATCGAAAGGCCTGGGAACAAGCTTTCGAAGGCCAAAGCATCTCAGTGGTTCCCTAAACTCTAAACCCTAAACCCCAGAACCCCAGACCTTAAACCCCTAAACCACTAAACCCCGCCTAAACCCCTAAGACCCTAAAACCCTAAGACCCTAAAACCCTGAAATCGTAAGACTCTAAAACCCTGAAAACCCTAAAAGCCCTAAACCCCAGCGAAGTTCACGACCTCGTCAGCTCTTCCTCCCTCTTTTGGAGCTCGGCTCGGAGCTCCTCCTCGGCCTCCAAAAACGGAGCACGCTGATCTTGGGGCCTTAATCATTAGAATAGGGTTTTTGGTAGTTTTCGTAGTGTTTTCCGAAAACCCCAACAGTAGGTAAAATAATGGCCCAAAACCCTATAAAGGGCTGTTATTCTACATACTTTTGCGGTCCAGGCTGGGGGGGCTTTTAAGTTTAGGGTTCCTTCAAGGAGGGCTACAAAACGGATTGAGTATCGGGGCCTGAATCATTGGAACAGGGTCTCTTTAAAGAGTATTAGAAGGGTTCCTTTGAGGGTGCTATAAGGGATCTGCAGTGGGTCCTTAGTCATTAGAAAAGGGTTTTAGGGGGGGATATTGCACTATCAATATGATAAGGAACCCTAAGGAATAGTAGTGGTAATTATTGAGGCTTATATCTGAGCTTGGGGTGTTTGGTAACTGAGGATCCTTAGGCTCTGTAAGGCCTTTGAGGATTTGGGGGGGTCTTCGGGTTTAACTTTGGGGCTTAAGGTCGTAGCGGTAAAGAGCCGAGGTTTAGGTTTAAGGGTGTAGGGCCTGCAGGATGTACAGGCGGAGCTTACCTTGTCGGGTTTGGGAGGTTCGGGGGCTCTTCTGGCCCCGGTAGAACCTGCAAACCTGATTGCGGGTAGGACTATCCATGTGTATTCCTTCTGTTGTTCTTTTGATTTGGTGGGTTAACAGCAGGACGTTCCTTCATCAAGGCTCCTACATGGAGAGTTGCCAGGTTCGGTCGCTCCGGCTCAAGAAACCCTAAACCCTGCACTGGGGTTTAGGAACTATAAGCTCGGCAATGCTTTCGAGGTATAGGTAAGATCTGTAAGATCAGATTCGTTTCAACACATACGGCCTAGGCTTTACCGGAATCTATGTATTGCTTCAGTCTTGAAAGCTTGAGACTTTACTATACTGAACTTAGAGCCTGGGCAAAAACTATAATTTTAGCTGTTTCTTAGGGATTATAATAACCAAAAATTAAAAAACATTTCTAAGTACCCTAAGTTTAGAGTTGTGACAATGGAGGTCTAGGGAGGCACACAAGGAATCGAAAGCCCCGAATGAGAGCCCAGCCTCGTCCATCCCTGAATAAACCCCAAACCTTCCTGGTCAGAAGAAACGCGGACCTGATCCAGTGCAACATTGAATTTCTCATGAACCGAATCTGAAAAAAAACAGAACACAAGCAAAAGGTTCCCTAGCTACAGGGAACCACATGCAAGCCACAAATAGTAACCTCAAAGCCTGTGCAGCAGTATTTCCGAACCCCTAAATCTTAAAAAAGCCCTCCATGTGAGCTGGACCGTTGTACACGGCACCGCACCTCACGCCAGTGTCGCTGCGACTCCGTGAAGCTTGAAATCTCGTCGTGGAGGGATTTTGACCTCAGGCTCAGTCCATTATTTTCAGAAACATCCATACCGATATTATGGAAAGATACCCTATGTATGACGTTGAAATCCTCAAGCCACGGTAGAAACAATGGGCCCAGGATAATCCTCATAGTTTAGTAGGGCTATTTGCCTGGGGATGCTTGTGCCTGTGCCTTCCGGTACGGGGTTTCGGGGTGTAGCCGTCCTTCGGCTGTCCGAAGGTTCCATGCTGGTTGCAGCATGCTCCCCTGATGCCTGTGAAGCCTTATTCCTTTGTCCTGAAGCTCGAAGGGCAGTGTGGCCCCTGTCGACACCGCGAAACTTCAAGCTATTTGAAGCTGGTTAAGATGCGTGAGCAGGCCCTCCTCAGGTGTCCTTGACTTGGGAGACAGGAGTGCATAAGGACACTTTCCGGCAACAAGTCGGGGCTGGACCTCAATTGGCCCCACCCTCAGCCTATCATTGAAGTTGCAGCCCCTGGCAGGGGCTACCTTGGGCGGCGATAGAGGTCGCAGGGTGGGGCACAAGGGATAGTCTGGTGATTCAGGGTGCCATACTCGGGTAGAAGCAGAGTCTCGTGCCTGTGGAGAGACACGAGAAAATTCGATACAACCCTTGCCATCTTTGACTTTCCTGCAACAAAAACAACAACGTCTCGCCTTGCTGCGCTGGCAGGTCTGCTAATTTGTGCCATTTCAGCTGTCCATTTAAATGGCTGCTGGCTGTAGCTGTAGCTGTAGTGTCGCTTGACACTACAGCTAAGGTAGTATCTAAGGATGACTGCCAATCTTGGATGTCGACGCAACATGGAACTTAGTAATTGTGTTTGTCTTGCATGCTTTTTGCTTGTCATTTCCATCTTCGTCGATACGCAAGCCGATGTCTCAGTTTGAGTCGCAGTCCGAAGCGACGCTGCCGGAGACGCCTAAATGGTGCTTCTTATTAGGATTTCTTTATATAGTTCCTTAAGACTCTAGGTTTCTCGGGGTCCAGGTAACTCCTATAGATCCAATGCTATGCCTGCAGCCCCGAACTCAACAAACCGACTCCCGAAATAGAATAAGCAGCAATCAGTACTGCTGGTCATGCCAGACCCTAAACCCGAAAACAGCAGAAACATAAAAACAAGAATTCAGTATTCATAAGGAACACTGCACTCATTTAAGAATACACATCGTGTTCATTTTAGGTTAACCATACTATTGAACTAGAAGTCATAACAATCTGTGAATCCCGAAACCAAACATTCTCGGTCCCCGGCTCGGCTGCCAGCGCTGAACACCTGCCGTCGAGCCTCCCAGATTTTCCAAAGAAAAATTGGAATCCCACAGGGGTTCTCCGTCTTCGGGTTTAGGATTTCGCGAATGCTGTTTAAGGTTTAGGGTGTAAAGGTTGAGGTTCAGGTTGTAAGATACAAGATTTTGCGCTTTTCTTATGCGTTTTAGGACTTAGGTGTGTTTTAGCCGGGGTTGGACAGAAAGCCGGCACATTGATTTATGCTAGCTATCTGTATTTGTGTTAGCTCCCTGTCATCGATGGTATTCATAGCCAAACGCCACCTTGCAAGGTTGTTGAGGGAGTTTCCTTTTGGTTTCTTTTACGGGCATGAGGTCACGTTCCCACACTCTGTGTCGGCCCTGAGCCCTAGTCCCCATACTTTGGCAGCATACCCGTTTGCGCTGCTGCTACATGGTACTTTTCCATATCTTGCAGCTCCAAGAACTGCTTCACCTGCCCACAGCTTCTTTAGTGGACACCCATGAAGTGAACCAGGTGTCCAACTTGAGTTGACATCATGGTGATCGTTCTAAGTGCTACGTTGATGAACGTGCAGGCGTGATGACAACGACATACAGTGTTAGTCTTATCAGACGCGAGCCAAGCTGGCTGTGCTTGTGGGTCCTCTTGGTTTAACCAAAGAAAGGAACGCATGCCTTGTCCTTCTTCGCCTAAGAGTAAGTGGCACATTGAGATTGATTTACTAGGACTAGGAGTCGTTCCCGTTCAGCCTGACGTTGTGTCTGCCGTCGCTGTTGCTCCCGCTCGACTTGCCGTAGTTATGGAAGTCATCATGATGAATGCGAACATGGTCCTTGATGCCATGTGCGTTTATGATGGTGGCGAAAATAAAGGATGATGCTGCTGCTAATAATGATGGTTGGTGATGATGACATTGATGATGATGATACTGATCTGATAATGATGATGACAATGATGATGACGATGATGAAGAAGAATATGATGATGAAGATGATGATGAGTGATGAAGGTGCTGGTGAGCATGGTTCTCCATCAGTGAGCCAAGCTTACCCGTCGCCTCGACAGGGCGCTTCTCTGCCAAAGACATGGATCCTGAAGCATGAAATCACTCGTTTTAGAGTTTAGTATCCACCCTAAAGCCTGAACACTTGACACACACACACGCATACACACACTCTCTCTCTATAGATATAGTTACTTATTTATTTATATATGTGTAGATATATATATATATATATACCCACTCAAATATGTATATATGTTACACACCCGAAGCCCTTGAGTTACGCAAGATAATCCTGCCTGGAGGAACGCGAGGCTTCCACTGAGGCCGCCTCCTGCCGAAAGTTCGGCAACGTTTGGGGGGATAGGGTTTGGGGTTTTAGGGCTTTTAAGATTTAGGTTTCAGCTGGGCTTTTGAATTAAGTAAGCAAGTTGTAAAGTAGGTAGTAGGACGAGGGTTTAGGTTCTAAGTGAGGATGAGGTTTGGGGTCGCGAATGACGGCGCCGAGCTTAGGGTCGCAGGAGGGGTGAGGGTTTGGGAACCGGGGTTGGGGGCCGAGCGACTGCATTGCATCTTCGTCGGGGTTTCGGGTTTAATTCACGGCCCGGCTCGGCACCGAACTCTGGGATGACCTGGGCGAATTTACGCCGCCCATGGAGCGTAACGCCAGGTGGAACTCTAAGGGGAGCCGTGCGGGAGGGGTCTGCATCCGCAGTCGAGGCGCGGCCTCGTATCTTTGGTCATGTACCCCAGGCCCTAAGCCAAAAGCACCAGTCACCATGCTATCCCAATCTCTAAACAAACCTTGACCAAGAGAACTTGAGGAAACGTTCCTTGAATCATAGCAAGGATCTTTGCGAGGAGCCCCATGGTTAAAAGAAAACGGCTCATGAAGCATTCGTGTTTCCGAACATCGATCCCTAAACCCGACACTTCTATGGCCCAGGAAGTATAAAGGTTGTCAGAGCGGAGCCTCCAGTTCCGTCACTTCTTCCCTGAGCGCAGCAATCTGCGCGAGGGCCTGCCGATGGGATCACGGCGATCGCAGTTTAGGGCTTTGTGTCCATGGGTTGACGTTTCTCGGTTTCGTGTTTGAGAGTTTAAGGTTTAGGGCCGCGTGGTTTCGGGGTTTAAGGGGCTTCGGGCTAGGGGTGGAGGGGCTTAGGCGGTATAGGGGTTTGGGTGTTCCGGCCGTGACTAGGGAGTTTCGATGTTGGGGACAAGGCAGGCAATGCTGCTCTCGTGGTGTTCCGTGTCTCGTAGATGGTTGGGAATATGGAGCATAAGGCGATAATAGGGTTAACATAAGAGAAACCTAAACCTTAACCTGGGCTACTGTAAGGGTCATTTCGAGCAGAAAGAACACGATTTTCGGGGCTAGGGTCCAGTGAAGCGAATGAGTATGGGCCCTGGCGTTGAAGCACCAACCCATCTGAGGAACAAACCCCAGAACTGCGCCGAAACTCCTCCGATGATACCGACAGTCCTGCAACCCATTGAGCGAAAACGTTCAGGGCAAACTGACCTTCAAGCATAAAAAGTGTTCCGACATAGAAAGCCAAGGGTCCAGGACTTGAGGATCATGCACGGCCTGTAGCTTTGTGTTACATTCCGAGAACTTGGCTTAAGAACCCAAACAGCCTGCACTGCGGCAAACCTTGAAGGAGCAGCCAAACATTCATACCTGGACCCAAACGTACGTAGAATCATAGCCCATATAGGGTTTTGGGCCATGATTTAACTTACTTTTGGGGGTTTAGGTGGTGCCACGGCCAGAAGCATCCTCACGTGACAATAGCTTGGCAGAGTTTCTGCGTACGTACTCTTGTCTGGCAGGTACCACATGTGAACCTATGAAAAGCGGCGAGCCCGTTGGATGAGCGACCATATAATGAGGCCTGGTCTGGAGACGGAAAGTTAAGGACAAAGTCAAAGACGAAAGCCGCAAAGCTCGAATATAGGAGCATTAATACTTCGAATAGGGTTTGCCCAAAAGAGCGTAGGTAACTAGTCATGCCCCTGTATTAAAGCGCTCCAAACGGGTCCAAGTATCATTATGGTATATACTTAGACCCCCGGAATACCTTATAAGTATATACCATAGTGATACTTGGATCCTTTGGGGCTATTCCCCGAATGGCCTTTTGCAGAGAGTCTTCCGCACCAGAGCGACCCGAGCGCTCCTCTTCAAGCTCCTCGGCAACGTGCACTTGTTTTGGGTTTTGGATCCAATGCAAGGTTAGGTTTAGGAATAATGAGGTACAATAATAATGACAACAAGAATAGAAATATCACTCATATAAAGCAAGAAAAGTTGAGAATAACAACAATAATAATAAAATTATTAATAATCGTAATCGTAGTAATAACAATAACACTTAGATTTGGGCGCAGGGTTAAAGCTTGGAGCTTGGGCTTTCGGGCAAGCGGGGTTCCCATCGTCCAGAGCTTAGGGTTGGCAGGCTCAAAAAACGAAGGCACCATCAGACTTCTCTGACAGAGAACGCAGGGTTTAGGGCTTGGAGTTTAAATGGGCTTTACGGGTCTACCTGGACCCCAAAAACATGTAGAATAATAGCCCTTATAGGGTTGTGGGCCAGTATTTGACCTACTTTTGGGGGTTTAGGTATAGGGGTTCATAGCGGGTTACACGGGCTTCTGGGTGGACCACCGAGAATCATGGATTCCATCCCCGGCCTTGACGCAGAGGCTGCGGTCCTCGCTCTTCGAGGACTCGGCACCCTCGAGCCTGACGGAACGGGGGAAAGAGGACTATAATGAAGACGAAAAAACAATTAAGCGCATAAACTGTAAGCTATAGTATGATGTAGACTAGTTTGTACGATATGTTATGATATGACATGACCTCATGAGATACGGTATGGCCAGATGTGTCATGAATGACATGATGTGATACGACATGATATGGTGTGTTATGACAAAACATGCTATGAAATGACATGATAAGATATGGTGTGATCTGACAATATATCTATCTATCTACATATATATATATATATATATATATATATATATATATATTATATATACACATATATACATATAGCCATATTGGGGGGGAGGGCTTAAGCATAATTGGCGAGACAACGGTTTGAGGGTATATAGGAGGAAAACGCAGTATGTATGTAACAAGAATGATATTCATTCGATATTCAGTCGCTACATTAGCCTTAATCACTCGTCTTCAATGGGGTTGGGCTTCGGGCTTCGTGTAGTGGTCTTCAGGCTCTGGTATTTCAAGCTGTTGGGCTTCGGGCTTTGGGTTTAGAGTTCGGGGCTTCAGACTTTAGATGTTCTTGTATTTTGGGCTTTAGGTTTCGAGACCCCTTGCGTGCCATGAGGAACCGGAAGTAAACGCTCTTGGGAAGCCGGGAAGATATGGTGCACGAGGTACCTACCACGAAGCGCTTAAACCCTGAAATCCTTGACGTGCGTGCGACAGCCGCCGAATGCCAAATATTGAAACCTGGACCCCCCGGACAGGCATGCCAACAGCACGGTCAAGAACACAGATGGGTAGTTGTCATGGCCCCTTTTTGGGTACCCTACATATTAGGTGCCGTATTATAATCAGGACCAAAAAAGGGACCATAATTTTGACAACCACCCAAATTTGTGCTGGCAAGGCGCTGCTAAAGCAGCTCCGATGGCTTTGTGCATTCAGATCTTGCATTCGAGGGTGTAGGGTTTATCGGCCTATACAGGATGTGCCAGAAAATTTGCGTAGATAGTGTCCTCATTATAATGTCAGAACCTTGAGGTACATGAACTTACAGAAACAGCAGCACTAGTACTCCACATAATCCATGTTCCAACTACTCGAAGCCTACTGCGGAGGTTTAGGGTACGGCGTCTGCTAGTTTCCTGGGTTGTGAGACTTCCTAAATGCCCAAATGAACTCCCCAAGCAGACCCAAACCCCACATCATGCAGCCCTAAACCCCAAAACCCTAAAGCCTTAAAGCCCCAGAAGAAGAGGCGTCAATGACGCAGCAGTGCAACATGCTGGCGCCTTCGCAGCTGAGCTTCTTGCCTCAGCTACATACCCTAAGGGTCCATGTACTCATATGGTATATACATTGGCCTTAAAGTCCTCCCTATGTAGGTACCTTGGGCCCAAAAGTACATACTATTTGGGCACATGGACCCTTAGGGATAGGTGGGTAGCTGTAGCATGGGGGGCCTGGATAGTCGGAATAGTTTTCTTGCAATTGGGGCTTGCAAGGTTTGATAGGAGGTTGATACTAAAACCTTAATCACTAGACAAGGGCTTTGGGGTAGAGTACTGGGGTAGACTAGACTGAAATCGTAGTAGGGACTATAGTACTTGAAGGTGACATTATTGCCAAGTGCTCCGACACCCATAGTGATCTGGTCATGTACTACAACATTTTTCGACAGGATTCGTAATCTGGCCATAGCAGCCTCATTAAGATTCTGAACAGTGAACAGTGAAATCTCTAATCATGGTAAAACTTGCTGAGCCCCATGATCCTCCAACCCCAAGATGGTAGTTTCGAACCCCCTCATAACTGCTCAAACTGCTTAACAGAACTCTGTGAAGCAACCGTTTTTAAGACTCTGCTTACACTGCGGTCTAGTGGGCAAAGGGTTTGAGGGACTTCGGATCTAACGTGTGGGTTTAGGACTAATTACCAGCCCTAACCCGTGAAAGCCGTTATGCAAAATTCACAAGCCCCCCATCCGCTCTCAAAGTTAAGCTGGAGACTCTTGCAAAGTGTTCTGCAGCTGCTTCGCGCGGACCTCCACCTGTCACAAGCATTCTTGCGGGGCTCCTTTCGGGCCGTTTTGCGTTTTAGGGTTTAGGACATGGGGTTCAGGCTTTTAGATTCTCTTGGCAAACGTGCACGTGGATAAGATTGTGGGACTTAAGGCAAGTATTTCAGTACCAATGTCGTTGCAATTTCATTGCTATGGGTATGGAGCTCCTCGAGCACAGGGCTCTTGGCGGGACTTAAGGCTTGAGGTTGTGTTACTTCCTTAGTCTCTTGGCCCTTGCTTTTGTTAGATTCGGCTTTGCCTCTGTTCTTCGGACTCACGGTTACGGCTCTTGATCGAGCTGCGCTCTGTGTGATCCTGTTGTGGGAACAGGAACACACCAAAATGCACGCCACCAGGGCGTGATGTTCTGATCCAATGAGCGACCGATTCGCGCTCTTGCAAGGTAACTGCACCCAACTTTCGAGTCTCTTCTGCGCCACATCCATCCTAAACGCCAAGCCCTAAATTCCAAAACGAATGCCCTCTAAGAGACGCATTAGAGCTGAACAGTCGTGGTGTTGAAGACCGCTGACTATACTCCCTGTCTTGACGGGTTTCAATGCTTGAATCCTGACAATGATCCTTGCTGAAGGGTGTCAAGTCACATTCAAGTCGGATGCCGGGTCGCATATAGGCCTCAGGAGCTCTATGCTAAACATCTGCGTCCTGAAGCTTACAGCCTGCACTCTGAACAGTACCTGGACCCCAAAAGTATGTAGAATCATAGCCCTTATAGGGTTTTGGGCCATTATTTAACCTACTTTTGGGGGTTTAGGTAGGACCTAAACCCCAAGCCCTAAACCCGAAGCCTCCAACTTTCCAGAACTCTCAACCCAAACGGAGCCCGTCGGCGATCTGTTTGACTAATAAGGCTTAATAGTTACCCACACTATGGAATCGTCACGCCGTCCCGACAGTACAAGAACAGGCTTCGAGGTAGGTTTTGGGGGGTGGGGGGTAGCATATTATATACATATAAATATATATATATACATATATGTATACATTACGTATATAGTATGGACATAAGTAACCCCACTACATATGTTTCCGAACCCCCCAGACCCTGTGAAACCGTGACCAGATCCACACAAAAAAGCCTCCTCAAAGCGCTTCTTCGAGACAGTGGCACCGCAACCCATGGCCGGCTCTGAACCGTTTGGAGTTTGGGGTTTAGGGTTTAGGGCGAAGTTGTCATAGAAAACCCAAAATGGCCCTCCAGGACATGGATGCATCAGGGTCTTCCTTCGAGTTGGGAGTTTGCCGACAATCTGAGGACCTACACCTTGGAGAGGGGACAGCTCTACGGGTTAGAGAGGGGACAGCTCTAGGGGTCTAGGGTGGCAGGTTAAGAGCTCCTCTGAGGGTTGAGACAAAAGGCTCCCCTGTATAACGATGGAACAGCAAGCAAAAAACAACAGCGGAGACCGTAAGGTTCGGAGCTGCGTTTCGAGCTTCTGTGGGTTGTGCCCGGCTTTGTTTATGCATACACACAGCACAGACTGAACAGTGCTCCTACTCGTTATGCGGTGGTGTATCCCCAAGCCCTGTTCAATTTGCTCAGGCCCCTCTAGTAACCCTAGAACATCCTTCCACAATTTTTCTTGTGCTAAAGGCCTCTGGTAAACCCTTGCACACATGTCCCTATAGCTTCGACATTATATACCAAAAAAGATAGGTTCTGAATTTCAAAAGCAATACGCATGGCGAACATAGTGAATGCCGGTTGGCGATCAGAGCTTCGGGTTCGGGAGTTTCTGGTTGTGTCTCCGAAGTTCCCCGGCCCTTCTACATTTGGGCTCTTGGGATTTTCCCTAAGGCCCCAAAGCAGTTCCTTTTTGGGGTTCATATATAGAATCCTATAAGGTAACCACAAAAAGGAACTACTTTGGGCTCTTGGGGTTTACAGCCTATGAGGTGCAGGGTTTGACTGTGCAGGGTTCAGGAGTTCAGGATGCAGGGCTTTCACATACAACTCGAAATCCTCATGTGAATTGGTGAATCTACGCACACCTCTACGTTGTCAATCTGTTTGCAGACTGCACTTACCTGCAAGCCTGTCGCTGTGAGGCCTTAAATGTCGAGGCCTGCACCGCAACGCAGGAGCAAACCAGGGCTATCCGGCTGCCTTTTTCTGCGGATGCACCGTGAGGCCGAAAGGTTTGGGGTTTCGTGGGTTTCGCCTGATTTCCGAGATCAGGTTCCCTACCGGTACCCAGGCACTGAAAGTAGGGGGCGGGGGAGGGACAACTTCCCGAACACATAAAACTAAAAGACGCCTGCCCCTTGCTCAACGGACCTGCTTGGCAGATCGTTTCAGCAGGCAGAACGCTGCTATCGAAAGCAGCAGGGTAGAAACGGAGAACATCGCAAAAGCAAGAAAATCATCCGCAATGTACACGTACGAGTAGTACTGGAACACATGCGGAACAGTGAATAGCAAAAAGGCGGCAAGGAAACCCAGCAGTTGACGGCACCACGTTGGCGATTTTCTGACCCACTGTGCAATCCTGGCATAAACCACATAGCTGGCCGGTAAAATCCAAGTCCACCACATCCTAGGCTTTTAAGTAACCAGTGAGAAAAGTGTAAACTTGAATTTCATAATGGTTCCTTGAAGAAAAAAGTATTACAGTATGGGTACTCCAAAACCCTATGGTTCCTTGAAGAAAAAGTATTACAGTATGGGTACTCCAAAACCCTATGGTTCCTTGAAGAAAAAGTATTACAGTATGGGTACTCCAAAACCCTATGGTTCCTTGAAGAAAAAAGTATTACAGTATGGGTACTCCAAAACCCTATGGTTCCTTGAAGAAAAAAGTATTACAGTATAGGTACTCCAAAACCCTAAACCCTAAACCCAAAGCCCAGCATCACTCCGGTACCCAGCGAGCGAGTCATCGACAGAAAATCGCCTCCGGAGGCCCGAGCCGTTGCTTGATCCATCTGACTCCATAGGCTGAAGATACCTTAACCCCAAATAACCCTACCTTCTTAAGGACATATAAAAAGAAGTCATCATAAGGATCCTTATGATGACTTCTTTTTATGAGTCCTTAAAAGGGTGAGTATTTGATATTTAAAGTTACCCACAGGCTCCATAGTAGTTCCTTTTTGGGGACTACCTTATAGAATTCTAAACATGAACTCCAAAAAGGAATTACTATGGGGTCTTTTGGCAACTTTAATTACCAAATAACCTACCCTTCTAAGGACTTATAAAAAGAAGTCATCTAAGGATCCTTAAAAAAGGTGAGTTTTAGAGCTTATAAAAAGATTTCATCACTAGGATCCCTGTTAAAAGGTAGTTTTTTGTAAGTGTAAAAGGTAGGTTTTTTCGAGGGCCCAGGTGCACAATGCCAGGGCCCACGGATAGCCGAATGGGACCCCATGCACGAGCTGGGTCATGAACACATCTCCTAAGTCTTCGAAGCCTACCGTAAACCCTAAACCCTAAGCCCTTAGCCCTAAAACCCCAAAAGTAGAGCCACGGTTTCGGGTTTAGGGTTCCATAAACCCTAAGGCCTAAACCCCCGAAAGTAAATCGAATACTGGCCCAAAACCCTATAAGGGCTATTCTTCTACATACTTTTGGGGTCCCGGTGCAGCTCTCGGAACGATGCATGAGAAACTCTGTAACCCTAAATCCTGAACCCTGTGCATCCTGAACCCTCAACCCTACATCCGAGACCCTACACCCTAAACCCCCAACCCTACAGTAAACCCTAAACCCGATAATTACCCTAAACCCCGATGAGTACCAAGTCTCGTACTCTGGTCCGAACACAGTCTTCAAAGGCCTCGACCGAACCAAACCACTGGCAAACGCACTCAGCCTCGGCTTTTGGCTTTATAGGGCTCTGTTGTGCGTGCAGTTCAAGGTTGAGGGTTTAGGTTTGTGTTTCATTAGCTCGTTCCCTAAGAGTCCGAGTACCTAATAATCATATACTCTCCAGAATGCTAACCTACATACATAACTACTATCCTATAACCGAGTACTTAATTCTTGGGGCCTTTGGACCCTTGGGGGTTTGTTTGTGTTGGGTGGGGCGTTTGTTAATTAGGGCTTCTTTTTTTGTCCCTAGGGTTGGATGCCTCACCAGCCCAGCTCTGCACCTTTGGCAAACAGCTGAGGGGTCAGAGTCAAGAGGTTCCCAAGGCTCAAACAAAGTTCACGTTTTCGCGTTTATGGGCCTAAGAACCCTACGTACTTTTGAAGGCTCAGCCTTGCGTAGCAAGCATGCTGTGCTCTTGTCTAAGCATAAAGACAACACCTGTCAGACACCGGAGAAGGCCCGTCCCCACCCTGCATGCTCCCTTCTGAACCCCAAACTAAGGTCTACACCCCGCAATTCCAACAATGGCCCCGGATACCTCAACTCCTAACCTGGAGCCACCCGAATTACTTCCTTAACCCTGCAGGGCCCCGAAACACTAGCCGCTACGGAAATACGCATGCCTAAATGGCTACCTCTCGACTGCCCCCAGAGCGACCACCTCGCTCTTGGGCTTTGGGTCGATCTTTCAGGATCCGATCGAACAACAAACCGAGAAGTTCATCAATACTTAAACCCCCGAAAGTAGGTTAAATAGTGGCCCAAAACCTTAAAAGGCGATTATAACTATTATTCTGCATACTTTTGGGGTCCAGGTAAGGTTCCCTGTAATGCAGGCACTGCCTCCAAGCAGCAATCATTTCACGATCGCATGGTATAGTGGTGCCGTCGACGTCGTGGTTAAGCTCGCAACAGTAGCACTTCAAGTTGTTCCAGGAGAAGTTGTCGAACATTTCTTCTACAGCGGCCAGCTCGTTCCAATAGATCTTGAAAATTGAATTGAACCCGATGCACCAGATAGTCACGATTATTCCTCTTAACGGAACGCCCGCAGCTACCGGCGCACAGAGATCAGCCAGGAGAAGCACGGACCCCCCCAAGACGAAGAACAGGCTGGACTTCGCGAGGCCTAGAGGCAGTATCACCAGCGAAGCAAGCCTGTCGTTCTGGTGCGTGTTCAAGAATGCTGAAATTTCGAAGGCACACCAGAGCCTCTGTAGGTAGGTCCGGTCAATGACGACGAGAAGCCGTTTCGACCGCTTCAGCATGGCCCCGAGATTCATGATCCCTTCGGCCTTCAGCCGCGCATCCCCCTGATGGATGCAAGCTCTGTCCACGAAGACGTGCCCTCCTCGGCATTGTCGTGAACATCTAACCCAAAGGGTCCAAGTATCATTATGGTATCTACTTATAGGGTATTTTGGGGGTCAAAGTATAGACCATAATGATACTTGGACCCTTTGGGTAAGGATGCCCTACCAACACATCCTAAAGCACAGGTTGCAGCATAAAACAGATTGAAAGTGTGAGGACCAGTCGCTGGGATGCCAGAGCAGCAAGGTCAGGAGCGCAGCAACGATGCCAGAAACTAGTGCCCAGGGGCTGAAGTCGTGCTCGAAATGAAACCCCGGTGTTCGATACCTCGTCTAGTGTTTGGTCTGAAAGGGAACCGTAGACTCTAGACCAAAAGTACCACGCCTGATGCCATGTCTGCACCCCTCAAACGTCGAGAAGGGTCCATTGTGGGTAATTGCCGAAGGCTTCAAAAGGAAGCTTTACGATAGCACTTTATGTGGGGGTAGGACCAGGCTAGACGCACACCGAATAAAAACCCTAAACCCTAAACCCCAAAACCCTAAACCCTAAACCCAACACATTCACCTCAGCTACTGAACGACGGCTTCCAAATTGGACCTGGCCGAACTCCCAACGCTGACAGGCCTAGCCCTGCAGCCCGGAGTCTGCGCCCCTGAACATCTGCGACAGGGGCTGGGAGCAGCGGGGCTGCACTTCCCAAAGGGTCCAAGCATTATGGTATATGCTTAGAGGGTATTTGGGGGGTCAAAGTATATAGCATAATGATACTTGGGCCCTTTGGGCTTGATAGCCTCGGCACGGTGGCGGAAATAGCTTGGAGATGACGGTTGGCAACAGCCCGGCGTGGGTGGCAAAGGCTCCGAGGCATGCAGAGATGGTTCCCAGCACACACGCTGCCCTGTCGGGTAAGGTGTTCGGAGAAGCCAAAACATGTCCATGCAGGGGCTGCTTCACATTGCGGGCCTTTTATGGCATCCCTGAGTAATGAACAACAAGCTGTAACGGTATTTCGCGGATCAGAAGGTTTGAGGGCCTATGTTCGACAAGGGAAGATGAAAGAGTCCGGACAAACATGGAAGCCTAACGTTGCCTGCCATTCTTCAGCGCCAGGAGGAGGCAAATCTTCCAGAAGGGCGAGGCTTGCCAGCTGTGCGACCAGAACTCGTCGATGGCTTCCACCTGATGACTGAGCTTGTACCTCAGCTGAAACGACAGCCTATTCTTCCAACTTGGCTCAGGCAATGTTGAATTGCAACATTAGTAAGGCAAAGGAGTGAGAACCGACGACTTCGCATCGTAGCATCAGCAGTAGCAGTAGCAGTGGCGTAGAAGTAGCAGTAGCAGTAGCAGTGGCGGTAGCAGTAGCAGTGGCAGTGGCAGTAGGGGACAAGTGGCGGAGGCTAGTTAGTTTATTCTAAGAGAAACAAACTTTAGCCACAAGTTTATTTCCAGGGTTTAAACTATTAAACCAACTAACTCGTCGGGATGGAGTTTGTTTTCTGAAAGAAACTAACTAATATGCCTCGGTGGAAGGGTTCTGGGGGGGGGGGAGAAACTAACTAACTCGCTCGGCCGGGGTTTGTTTCTTCGAGAAGAAACTAACTCTGGGTGGAGGAGTTTGTTTCTCCTACAGAAACAAACTCTGGGGGGAGGGGTTTGTTTTCAGAAAGAAAAACAAACTCTGAAGGGGGGTGCAGGGCAGTTTGAAACTAACTAACTCGCTCGGCCAGGGTTTGTTTCTTCGAGAAAAAACTTTTAGGTGGAGGAGTTTGTTTATCCTACAAAAACAAACTCTGAGGGGAGGGGTTTGTTTTCAGAAGGAAAACAAACTCCGAAGGGGGGGGGGGGGGTGCTGGGGAGTTTGTTTTTCCTACAAAAAACAAACTCTGGGGGATGGAGTTTGTTTCAGCGGGGAGAAACAAACTCCGATGGGAGAAGTTTGTTTGTTTAAGTGACGCAAGGGGGCGGCGCGTGGGTGCATGGGGGTTTGATTTTCCTACAAAAAACAAACTCTGGGGGGAGGGGTTTGTTTTTCCTAGGAAAAACAAACTCTGGGGGGAGGGGTTTGTTGTTCTTAAGAAAACCAAACTCCGAAGGAGGGGGGGAGGGGGTGCAGGGGAGTTTGTTTTTCTATAAAAAACAAACTCTGGGGGTAGGGGTTTGTTTTCAGAAGGAAAAACAAACTTGAAACTCCGGTTCGAGGAGTTTGTTTCAGCGGGTACAAACAAACTCCGACCAGGTGAGTTTGTTTCAGCGGTGAGAAACAAACTCCGATGGGAGAAGTTTGTTTGGTTAACTGACGCTAGGGGTCGGCGCGGGGGTGCATGTGGGTTTGATTTCCCTACAAAAACGAACTCTGGGGGGAGGGGTTTGTTTTTCCTACAGAAAACAAACTCTGGGGGGAGGGGTTTGTTTTTCCTAGGAAAAACAAAATTGGAAGGGTGGTGGGGTGCAGGGGAGTTTGTTTTTCCTACAAAAAACAAACTCTGGGGGGGGGAGGGTGGGAGTTTGTTTTTCCTACAAAAAACAAACTCTGGGGGGGAGGGGGGGAGTTTGTTTTTCCTACGAAAAACAAACTCTGGAGGGGGGAGTTTGTTTTTCCTACGAAAAGCAAACTCTGGAGGTAGGGGTTTGTTTTCCCTACGAAAAACAAACTCTGGGTGGAGGGGTCTGCTTTTCCTACGAAAACAACCTCCGATGGGAGAAGTTTGTTTGTTTAAGTGACGCTCGGGGGGACTGGGAAACTGACTAACTCGCTCGGGCAGGGTTTGTTTTTCCTACAGAAAACAAACTCTGGGGGGAGGGGTTTGTTTTCAGAAGGAAAAACAAACTCCGAAGGCGGGGTGCAGGGGAGTTTGTTTCCTACAAAAAACAAACTCCAGAGGAAGGGGAGGTTGTTTTTCCTACAAAAAAACAAACTTTGGAGGGAGGGGGGTTTGTTTTTTCCTACAAACAACAAACTCTGGGGGGTGTTGTTTTTCCTACCAAAAACAAACTCTGGGGGTAGGGGTTTGTTTGTCCTACCAAAAAACGAACTCTGATTGGAGGGGTTGGTTTTTCCTACGAGAAACAAACTCCGATGGGAGAAGTTTGTTTGTTTAAGTAACGCTAGGGGGAACTGGGGGGAGGGGATTGTTTGGCCTACAAAAAACAAACTCTGGGGGGAGGGGTTTGTTTTTCCTACTGAAAACAAGCTCTGGGGGGAGGGTTTTGTTTTCAGAAGCACAGGACAAACAAACTCCGAGGGGAGTCGAACAAACTCGGAAGATGGAGGTTGTCTTACCTACAAGAAGAGCCGCACGAAATCGTTTCAGGGGGGTTAAAAGCGAAGAAACAAGTAAATACTTTATAACCAAGAATTAATTGAACACGTTGTCTCCAGCACGAAGAAGTCAGCCACACGAAATCGTTTTCGGGGGTTAAAAGCTAAGTATTTAAACCAAAAATTAATTGAACACGTTATCTCCAACACGAAGAATTCAGCCACATGAAATCGCTTCCGGGGGTGAAAAGCTAAGGAAAAGGGAAAGACTCCGAAAGTTTGTTTTTCGGTGTTTAGACTAAACCGTTAGACTAAACCCTAAACCCTACAAGAAGAAGAGCTGCACGAAATCGTTTCAGGGGGTTCAAAGTAAAGAAAAATTCCTACTTTATAACCAAAACTGTTTGAAAACGTTATCTCCAACACGAATGCAGCTACACGAAATCGCTTTTGGGGGGTTAAAAGCGAAGACAAAGATTGAACACTGTATAGCCGAAAATTATACAAAAAAACGTCTTTTCCAACACAAACGCAGAGGCCACACGAAATCGCTTTAGGGGGCTAGAAGCGAAGAAAGAAGTAAATGAGGCATAACAGAAAAGTATACTAAAGCCTGGATACAGATAGCAGACGAGATAGAAGGTTTCAGATACAGAGCTTAAGGTTTAAGGTGAACTGAAGAAAGAGGCTGGTGTGCAGAACCTTCAAGACTCAATATCTATAGCATATGAGATTTAACTAACTTGCGCCTACCCGGGACTCCGAAAGTTTGTTTGTCTGTGTTTAAACTAAATATAAGCCCTATAAAAGGTTTGTTTTGCATATCTGAACTAACTTGCACCTACCGGGGCTCCGAAAGTTTGTCTTTCTGTGTTTAAACTAAACCCTAAACCCTAGAAAAGGTTTGTCTTCCATGTCTAAACTAACTTACCAACTTTCGCCTACCCGGGACTCCGAAAGTTCGTTTTTCTGTGGTTAAACTAAACCCTAGCCTGTAAAAGGTTTGTTGTCCATGTCTAAACTAACTTGCGCCTACCCGGGACTCCGAACGATTGTATTTCTGTGTTTAAACCAAACCCGAAACCCTATAAACGGTTTGTTTTCCATGTCCTAAACTAACTTGTGCCTACCCGGACTCCGAAAGTTTGTTCTTCTGTGGTTAAACTAAACCCTAAACCCTATAAAAGGTTTGTTTTCCATGTCTAAACTAACTTGCGCCTACCCGGACTCCGAAAGTTTGTTTTTCTGTGTTTAAACCAAACCCTAAACCCTATAAAAGGTTTGTTTTCCATGTCTAAACTAACTTGCGCCTGCCCGGGCTCCGAAAGTTTGTTCTTCTGTGTTTAAACTAAACCCTAAACCCTATAAAAGGTTTGTTTTCCATGTCTAAACTAACTTGCGCCTACCCGAAAGTTTGTTCTTCTGTGTTTAAACTAAACCCTAAACCCTATAAAAGGTTTGTTTTCCATGTCTAGACTAACTTGCGCCTACCCGGACTCCGAAAGTTTGTTCTTCTGTGTTTAAACTAAACCCTAAACCCTATAAAAGGTTTGTTTTCCATGTCTAAACTAACTTGCGCCTACCCGAAAGTTTGTTCTTCTGTGTTTAAACTAAACCCTAAACCCTATAAAAGGTTTGTTTTCCATGTCTAAACTAACTTGCGCCTACCCGAAAGTTTGTTCTTCTGTGTTTAAACTAAACCCTAAACCCTATAAAAGGTTTGTTTTTCATGTCTAAACTAACTTGCGTCTGCCCTATTTGCAGTAGGGGCGGCAGCAGCAGCAGCAGCAGCAGCAGCAGCAGCACCAGCAGCAGCAGCAGCAGCAGCAGGAGCAGGAGCAGGAGCAGGAGCAGTGGCAGTAGCGGTAGCGGTAGCGGTAGCGGTAGCAGTAGCAGTAGCCATAGAAGTAGCAGTAGCGGTAGCAGCAGTAGGTGGTAGCAGAAGTAGCAGCAGCCGTAAATACTTCTGTTTCTTGTATTTATTTATTGCTATTATTCATGTTAATACTGTTCATATTATCACAGTTACTATTAGTAGTAGTAGTAGTAGTAGTCGTCGTCGTAGTAGTAGTAGTAGTAGCAGTAGTAGCAGTAGTAGCAGTGGTAGCAGTAGTAGCAGTAGTAGCAGTAGTAGCAGTAGCAGCAGTAGGAGTAGTTGTAGCAGGAGCAGTAGTAGTAGTAGTAGTAGTAGTAGTAGTAGTAGTAGTAGTAGTAGTAGTAGTCGTAGTCGTCGTAGTCGTCGTCGTCGTAGTAGTAGTAGTAGTAGTAATAGTAGTCGTAGTTGTCGTAGTAGTCGTAGTAGTCGTAGTAGTAGTAGTAGTAGTAGTAGTAGTAGTAGTAGTAGTAGTAGTAGTAGTAGTAGTAGTAGTAGTAGTAGTAGTAGTAATAGTAGTAGTAGCAGTAGTAGTATATAGTAAGAGTAGGAGTTAGGAGTAGGAGTTGGAGTAGCAATGGTAGTTTTGGTAGCAGTGGTAGCCGTAGCAGCATCAACAAATGATGGCAGGTTCATCTGTGTGCGTAGATCAACAAACGGTCCTATCAGACAAACCCTAAACCCCGTGGATGAGTCAAGTCACAGCTTCTCAGGCTCCAAGCGCCGGGAAGGGGCCCGCAATGTCCAGCCAAAATTCCTTCCAAGAGTTTAGGGGTTGAAGGTTTACCTTAACCCCGAAGAACCTACATTTTTACAGACTCATATAAAGAAGTCATATTAAGTAACCCGAGAAAGGTAGGTTATTCAGGGTTAAGGTAGGGTTTAGGGTATAGTGAAGGTTTTGAGGGGTCAGGCGTACACTCCAGGCACAAGAATCCCGTCAACCCCTCGAGCTCGGCATATCCGAAGTGCTCATCCCCAACTCCCAATCGGTTCCTTCTAAGGGATCTATAGGGGTTCCTAGGCTTCCTTTTAAGGGTTCTACTATAGGGGTTCCTTTAAAGGATCCTTTTTCCAATCACATACGTACTGATCCCTTGCCTTCTGCACGAACCTGCATACAGCCAACACGCATTCGGTTCCGATTACAAGAGCACTCTAGCGGCATTGACAACTTCCGAGGCACATTACCGTAGAACTTTCCAAGGACGACCTGCCAAAGAAACAGTTGCAAAATAATAAAGTAAATGAGAACGCTATTAGGTAAATGTTTGTAAAACAAATATTATTAATAATCCCATGAGGGCCTCAGAATAGCCCAGGCAGGTGCCGCGCGGAGCAACTCTGGCGAGCCTGGGTTTTGTCACGCTTTGAGGGGAGCTTTGGGATTTAGGGCTGCAGGGTTTAGGGTTTCTTTCGGGTTTAGCGCTTTAGAGCTTCAGGGCTAGAGCGCCGGGTTTAGGGTTTAGGGCTGTAGGGTTGTAGGGTTCAGAGCTGCCGGGTGGTAGGGCCCTGGGGGTTGAGGCTTCGGATTGCTGGTTTAGCATTTCCAGGCTTTTGTTGACAGCACGTGCACTTCTCGATGTGTGCGTGTCATCCCTGCGCAGGGGGAGACTACAGGGTTTATAGGGTTTAAGGTTTAGGGTTTAGGGTTAAACCCTAAACCCTAAACCCGGTTAAGGTTCCGGGTTTGGGGGCTGGGGTCTCCAACCTAGATCCTGATCGAATCCTGGCCACGAAGGTGCCTATAGCCACAGAAAGGACCTACATGGGAGAGTATAGTCGGGTTATGTGCTCCTGCAGGGTTGGGTTTAGGAGTTCGCCATATTCACGTCCTTCCTACATCCGGTAGCCAGGCTTAAACACATCGACGCTTCGTCGATATGAAAATGAAGTAGCCTCAGAACGAGCCTTGTAGCACTACTAGCTCCAATGGTACCGTCGCTGGGAACCCCCGTCCATACCCGGACGCTCCTGGCAGCACGCGCTAGTTCTCGAAGCCTGTAAGCACCAACCCTCGACGACTTCCAAAGCCAAGTTACACTAAAATCACCGACAGCCTTGTCCCGAAGCCTAAACACGACACCCTACCTATAGTCCCCATTGTAGTTCCTTTTTTGGCTTAACCAAAAACATAATTAGGACCCTATAAGGTAACCCCCCGAAAAGGAACTACAATGAAGACTATAGGTAGACCTTCAGCCCAAGCCAGGCAGCTCAACTCAAGGGTGGCAAGAAAGCGAACGATCCAGCTGCCGTAGTGACGGCGGCTGATTACCTGGCTTTTCGGAGTGGAGTAAACCGGGAAGATGTCAATTAAGTCCGACGGACCTTTGACATACTTTCACGGCGGACGGACATCCTACTCTCGAGGATCTAGAAATCTGCTAGGTTGTTGCTGAGTCGACCCTATCTTGCAGGCACTTCCTGTTTAATGCTGCCAAGCCTGGGTCGACATCTTATGTTGACCTTTCACGGCGGGGTTCGGCATACACCTAATCCCCCACTAGCTTGGGAGGGTGGGGTTCGGGTGATATCTTTCGCACTTCGGACCTGAATCCCCCTATTCCTAAACCCTAAACCCCTGCAATTTGCATTGTCCGTCAGGAGCATCAACTACCTTGTGCTGCCAGCCGCCCTTGGGGTTCGAAGGAAAAGAAGGCCGGTGCCGTGCGAATTGCATGGTAGCGGAGCCTAATCCCTTGCAGAGGCAAGGGAGGGCTCCTGTAGGTAGCTAGTTTTGATCCAGGGTTCATGGGGCACGAGCTTCGCTTCCGTGATGGAGTGCCCATCTACGATGGCACCGCTGAGCTCTTTGAGCGTTACCGGCGAGAGGCGCTACTCTTCGCCGAGACTCTCGAGTGGAGAAAGCGGCAGACGGCCGCACCAAGGTTGATAGCAGCCTTGGAGGGTGCAGCCCGGGTGGCTGCACAGCAGCGACCCTCAGCATGGTTCAGCCACCCCAAGGGCGTGGAAGCACTGCTGGACCATCTGAAAACCACCATGAAGGCCCCGACTCTTCCTGACGCGGGACGGCACATCAGCAGATTCTTCTATGGTCTCAAACGACGCAAAGGGGAATCGATGGCTGCCTGGCTGGTGCGCCACGATGAAGCATTGGATGATGTTCGGCGCACCTTGTCGGAGGCGATCAGGGAGTATGGGCCTAAGGCGAAAGCAGCACTACCAACGACCACCACCCCGTTGAGGATGCCGACACCTACGGGGTCGCCCCTCCGTCCACAATGGCCTTCCCTGAGGCCAGTGCCGTCTCCACTGTGCTCGTCGCCATTGCGCTCTCTGTCTCCATCATGAACACGAGGTTGGCGGTGCCCTGCTTGTTGGCCGCCGGATCCTGGCCGCACTGCCGCGTCCAATGCTTGCCTCCGCACTTGAGGCACTTTGGCGCCATGCCACTCGTCTGCGGCCCTGGCCGGGATCCTGGTGGCGGGCCACGGTTGCCGCCGAAGAAGCGCCGGTTCTGGCGCATAGCATGCTGCTTCTCCCTGGCTTGGCGCAAGGTGTTGCGCTGCTGTTGCAGCGCCTGGTAGGCCTCCTGGGCCTCCACCTCAAGCGCCTGGTACTCGGCCGCGTTCTCGTCGGCCAAGAGGGCGTCGTGGATGTCGAGGACTGTGGCCGCGTAGGCCTCGTCCTCCTCTTCCAGCCCCGTGGCCAGGAGCGCCGAGCCACGACTGGTGTCTCGCCGCTTCAGCTCATCGTCCGGCCAGTTCAACCGCAGGATCTCTTTCACCCGTGACATGGTGAACTCGTTCTTCAAGTTGGCGATGAGCGAGCCCTTCTCGGTCTGGTCCAGGCCCGAGCGCTGGAGGAGCATCCACGCCAGGACGAAGTCGGGGAGGAACTGGGATGCCTCCACGGTGGCATCGTCCACGCCGTCGGCAGCCCAGCTGCCCATATCTGTGGATCCACGCGTGGACCCGCCGCGGTTCCCGCGGTCCGGTTGCCACCATTGTTGGCCATAGTCACGCCAGCCCCATTGGGACCAGTCGTCCCAGCCCCAATCGTCCTGCTCGGCGTTGTCCTCTGGATCCTCCACCATAGGCGGCCAGCCTCGTCGTAGATGTCGCCGGAGAAGTGGCTGGCCGGCGAGTGTGGGCTCGATCCAGGCTGTGGAAAAGATCCGTGAGTTAGCTTGGAAAAGGTTCGGCACAGACCCCATCGAATGGCAACTTGCACGGGTCCCGGGGGGGTCGGTGATTAAGCCCCGGGCTCGTGCTGCACGTGGGTTTTCAGTGATGTTCCGGTCCAGAGGGGCTCGGTGTTGAACGCAGCAAAATTGAGCGTGTGTTTTTCAGACGGCCTTGATATGTGATGGACAGGATGAGGACTACGACGACGGATTGCATTCAAACAGGACTAGGGACTGGACCATTTTCATGCCCACCCTAACGTTTGCGTCAAAATTTGAACTGCAGGCGGAAATTCAAGTTTTGAGCCGCATTGGCCCGTGATGTGTCGTCCGTTGGCTTGTTCCATGTTATCAGCGCATCATTGCATCATCAGGATTCATCAGGAAATTGTAGTCGTCGCACAGACAGATGTTTCGACAACGAATTCGCGCTATCGCGTGCCCTTCCGTGCCAACACTCAAAAAACACCCTTAATCCCCAACGGCAGCAACAGCAGGCTCCTTTTTGAGGAGATCAACAGTTGAGGCAGTTGAGGTTTATGGATTCGTCAAGGGCCAGGGCTCATGGGTTTTTAATTAGAATTGCGGGTGGTTTGTTACCACCTGTAGCTGTCACCTGTTCCTGTTTCTGCTGCAATGGAGCCAAACCCTAAACTCGAAGCCTAAAAACCCTAGCCCTAATCGCCCTAATCTCATTAAATCCTGGACCCTGATCAGCCCTGATTCCTAAGCCCTACAAACCTCATACCTAAAACCTTAAATTGCCCTAAACCCTGATCTCCAAACCCTAAACCGTGATCCCTAAACCTAAACCCCATACCCTAAACCCTGATCCCTGAACTCTAAACTCGAAACCCTGCCTTCGGCCGCACAAAACCTTAATTACCGAGAGGGGTCCGGTAATTAAGCCCTGCGCTTGGATCCGGTCTAATTCCCGAGGTCCATCCTTAATTACCGCGGTCCTGTCCTTAATTACCGGGGTCCGGCCTTAATTACCGGACCCCGGCCTTAATTACCGACCCCCCCTCGGTAATTAAGGTTTGGACCGGCCTTAATTACCGGGGTCCGGGCTTAATTACCGACCCCCCCTCGGTAATTAAGGTTATGGAAGTGGCTTTGGGGACTACCTCCACGTGGTGGCCACGGAATGGATGCTGCTGTTGGCGATGGCAGTGTTCGTCGCGAAAAGTCCCTGGCCGGTGTTTCTCAGGACAGGGGTAGGGTTGACAGATGTGTGCCCGCTCTTCGGAGCAGTCCAGTTTGCCACACACCCGGTTGAGCTTGGAGCATTGTGCAGTTGCTGGGCGCTCAGTGTGCTCATCTGCATTTTATGCCTCCAGCCGGTGTTTTGCCAACATGTCACTGCTCGTGCAGATTTCTTTCCAGATTTCTTTCTAGAATATGCCGGCGAACGCCACGCCGATGTGATTGGAGATGCAGTCGTGAATTGCAGTACGCATGACGCCTGTACACGCCCGGGCCCGAGTTTCCTTGCCGTCTCTCATGAGTGGGGGAAGCTTCTCTGCGGCTGCCGGTTGTTTAGACGGGTGGGGTTTGCTGGTATTAGGGTGGGCGAGGCCTCGCATCCAGGACCTGCAGGTGCCTCTTCGGCCACTGCAAATAAGAGACTTGAGCGGGAGCTTTCCCAGCTAGGTGAGGGCAACCTTGTGAAGTTGCTTCTGCTTATGTTCAAGCTGCTGTTGCAAGTCTCCGGCGGCGGCAATGTGGCCAAGTCGCTACAGGCATTGCCAGGGGGTGGAATAGGCAGTTTGATCGCTGGTTTGTTGGGATCTTCCACGGATGAGCCGCGCAACACCTCGCCAAGGAATAAGAAGAAGAGGAAGAAGAAGAAATCTCGCCTGAACGGCTCTTCTCCTCCAGCTTTGGGCGGGACTGCTAGGACGCCAGACGGCGGGACCGCTACGTCAGCGGATACGCCGAGCACTCAGCCTGCAGTTGACCGGGTTGTGGTTAAAGGTCAGGGCAAGGGAAATAATAGCAAGGGCAAGGGCAAGGGCACCAAGGGCGGCGAGGCCAACCAATCCACCGTTGGCGAGCCCGTGCCTGCTGCTTCTGCGCGCACGCCGCTGTCAAATGCCAGGTTGCGGCCTAGCGACTGGCACGGAGCTGTGCTGCACTATGATGATCTGCCGGAGGCGGTGAAGAACACGCCCACGGGACCGCTTGTTATCCAGGTCTCTGATGCCATGCAGGCGGACGCCGCTGCCATGATGTTGGCAGGGAGCGCCGCCAAGTATTCCACCAGTATCTTGTGGCCTGATCGGGAGGGGGCCCTCATGGCTCCATTCCAGGTTGGAGGGCAGGGGGGCCGTGTCGTGCCATTGCACGTTGCCAGTCGCGAGCTCATTGCTCCGGGTATCGCCCTCCCTTCTCTGAAGTTTGCGCCCAACACTGCACGGGTTGTTACTAAGGAACCTGAGACATGTCAGCTTCGCATTGTGCTCTTGCCATTGTACTTGTCTCTCGCTGATTGGAATGCCGCCTCCGCCAACCCACGCCGCTTTCTCCAATCGCGGCTGGGGGACTTGAAGGATTGCTGGGGCTTTGCCAGAGAAAAGCGGGGAGGCAAGGAGGCCATCATCGGATTGATTCGAGTGCCAACTGCAGTCCGGAAATCGGTTTTGGCTAAGTCCGGGCGCTCAGGAGTTTTCGTTGAGCCGGTGGGCGGCATGACCGAGCCCGTCACGGTCGAGTGGTCTGATGCGCAGCCGGGCGAAAAGCCCACTGAGCATTTGGAAAGGTTGGTCAACGGCAAACCTTCCCTAGGGGTTGTTTGCGGCGACCGCCAGTTGGGTGTTCGGAGGGAGTGTGCCAAGGATGGCGTCACGGAGCGCAGCTGGCGCTTGGACAAAACTCCATTGGATTGGACTGAGGACTTTGTTTCTGGGCTCATCGCGGAGCAGTCCAAGCTCACAGGTGTGCGCGTCACTCGCCGCGTTGTGCGAGGCAGGCTGTGTAGCTGGGATTTGCGGGCCACGGCTCCACGCGACATTGATTGCGTGCAGTTGGCCACCACCACTGAGGGCAAACAGCAACGCATCTACTGGGTGCTGCCTTCGCGGCCATCGCGAGGCGCTGCATGGGCTCGCGAGCCGATGCGAAATGCCGGGCCCTTCAGATTCGCTAAGGATACCTTTCACGTCACGAGCAAGGCTCAGGCTACCCCGAGTGCTGACGTGCAGGATGCTGACGGTAAAGCCATCCCACCACCCAAGCGACAGGCTCAGGAGGTTCGCATCCGGGAGGTGCCGCAGGGCGTCGAGCTTGTCAAGGTTAGTGCCGATGGCAATTGCTTCTATCATTGCCTGTCTGATGCCGTTGCTTTCGTCCGCAGCGGTAAGCCTAGGGATCATTCGGTCTTGCGAGCCGAAATCATTGCTTATCAACGGAAGCATGCTGCGACTTTTGAGGCGTGGTGGGACCGGACCGACTCCGGTGGCAAGGAGCTGGCTGACTTTCCGGCTTACCTTAGTCACATGCAAGGAGACGGGGTTTGGGCTGGACCGCTCGAGATAGAGTCGGCAGCCCGAGCCTACAATCTCGAAATTTTCGTAGTGCCTAGGGATGGTGACCTTCCGCCGGTTGTGCATAACCAGGGGGGGACGTTTCGCGTTGCCCTTTGGTTCACGGGCCAACACTTCGATTGGTTGAAGCCTTCTGCCAAGGATCAGGGTTTTCCCAGTGCCATCACCAACATTTGCAGTGCTCCGGATATGCGGAGTGCCAGGGGTGGGGGACCCGATGATGCAGCCTCTGTCGCCGACTCAGCCTGGACTATGTGGACTCGCGATTCGCAAGACAGGCCGGTGCCTGTGCCCAAGCGCCCGAAGGCTCAACCCAGACCACCGATTTCGTCTCCAAATGGGGGGTCTGGGTGTGGGCCCAAATCGGCCCAAAACTCGGCTGAGGCAACCCCCGATTCTCGAGGCCGAAACTGGGGGGTTGCCGGGGGGGAAAATGCTGTGCAATGTGCCATTGCCAAGTTGCGAGGCTCTGAGTCTTCGCGAGCCGGGCCTCTCGCGCGCTGCCTGCTGGAGTCCTCCGCCGCACTCGCCACTGCTTTGAAGCAAGGAGCCGCTTCGGAAGTTGCTGGGGCGTGTGAGGGGCCTCTCCTGCCTGAGGATGCTGTGTGGCTTAGGTGGTTTAGGAGCACTTTTGATGCCTCCCGGTCGGGTGACACGGTTGGTGACATTCAGAGCCAGCGGTCTTCGCCTCACCATCCTGCCACGAGCCCGCCCGGATCCGACATTCGCTCCTTCTTCGCACGGGCATCTGCGGCGACATCTGCGCCTGACATCGCCAGTGACATTGACGGTGAGGTCGACATACCTCCCCCGCCAGCCCCGGTGGCGGGCCACAAACGCCGCAGGTTTCGCCCGGTTCACTCCAAGTGGAGGTGCGATGAGTGCGGATTCGTTGCGGTTGGTAAGTATTGGAGCATCAACAAACGCCTGCACATCATGCGATGGCACCCTGACTTGCGTGCGATGCTTTCCCTTCGCAGGCCTGTTGGGCTCTTGCCGTGGACGCCAGCCTGCATCTGGAAATGCCGGTACTGTGACAAAGGCCAGGGGACCGAAGGATCGGCGGACAGCCGCCTCCATGCTCGCCTGCACCATCGCGAACAGCATCATCCTGATAAGCCCAGGGCTCACTTTCTGCTCGTTCGGGCAAACAATGCTCCGGTCGCCACCAAGGCGGTCCGCAACAAGGGTGCGGCAAGCCACCTCATGCGGTTGAAGAAGGGTGAGGCTGGCGTGCATGATCCTATCCGAGTTGCTACGCCACCGACAGGAAAGGCCAAGAAGAATCGGGTTTTGTACAGGGTGTTGTGTCGTAAGTGTGGGGCTTATGCAGCGCGGCTGAAGGACATCGCCAATGCTCCTTGC